TTTTTTTTTTTTTTTTTAGTGAAAATGGATCTTTGAATTTTAGAAGACCAAAATAAGCAGTATTGTACAGAATGTTAGTTTTGTGCTCCTTCCTGAAAGATGAATCATGTACAGACATTTAAATGTAATTTATGTTTTATTACATTTTTATATATCTTTTTCATTGAAATATTTGGACCTTTGAACAAATGAATTTATAATTTAACCATTTACATTATCCACTTTTGCTGCAGTTGTAATGTATTGATGGTTCATTTTGTAAAATGTATAAACAGGTCCCTACATTTCATGACTGTTTCTGAAATACACACTCTCATTGTAGCATTGTTGTAGCCAGCACACACAGTATAGTCATAAATTGTAAATCAAACATGTGGAGTATCTAATAAAATGATGCAGACCATTTAAGTTAGTGATCTTTACCATTTCAACAGCAGTTATTTTTGATACAACATTTTGTAAAATGAAGTACACTGTGGAAATGAAAATGGCCAAAGTTCCTTATTATTACAGATTTTGGACATAAATGACTACTTCACTTATATTTGGATCCATTTACAAGATCTGCATCCTTGTGACCTACAGTCAGTGGTACAGCAGCTTTTCTGGTTTCCAGATTGTCCACCTGGATTTGGAAATGCACTGGTAGGAAAACAATGAAAAACCTTTATTGATTTCTTCACTATAAGACAGTATTGGGTGCTATTAATAAATAACAAATAAATTTGATATATATATTTAAGTTTTTATTTTAATTATTTGGCTTTGACATATGTGTATATTCCACTTGTCAACCTCTCTTCTCAGGCTGGTCAAGGGTTGTCCAAAGTTCTCTAGTGAAAAAAGAAATAATCTAAGATTATTGATGTTGAGTGGAGCTACTTCTGAATGATACCTGCAAAAATTTATCTCATTTCATATAGTTCAACATCTATACAACTTGGAGTGATTGTTGTGGTTTATAAGGTCTCCTGTTCTGCATTGCAGACCTCATGAATTTCAGCACGTAATTGGCACAGTTGGAACAACAAGCCAGGCTATTATGCTTAGTTTTTGTTTACTCCTTCTGTTAAGCCTGAACATTTTCCCAAAGCTATCGTAGATTTGGAAGGGAATTCTATAGACAACTATTGTTCCCATTTATCCCATTTGTGCTCTGATTTTGAGGGTGTTAGGTAACCTAAATATTGTTAAACCAGATGTGAACTGAAAAACATGCAGCAGTATAAATACTTTAGTGATCTGAATTGCAAAAGGCCGTTTATTCCCTTAAGTAATTATAAATTGATAAGTCTAGAAGTATCCAATGAATACGAACTTTGAAAGGAGGCTTCACTCTTTTAGCATCATCCAAATTTCCTGTTTAAAATTGGCGTGTAGGTTGATACAGAATTCTAAATACAGTTCGCTCATGGGAATATTGTTCCTTTCCTGGGGCAATAGTGGTTGCATGTGTTGCCTGCTTCATAGTAGCAGGCACTCCCTCCCGCTCTTATTAGAAAATATGATTTTGAGCTCTGCTTTTGTACATTTAAGAAGTATGAGGGAGAGCATTTGATTTCACTTAGGGAGAACATTTCCCCCTTCTGTGTCTGGCTCTGGAATTGGAGTGTTGAATGGGAAAAGATTGAGAAGACCTTCATTGGGATGAAACTGTCTCACAAGGTTGATGTTCAGACGTTTAGATATTTGTCCAAATGTTATTTAGCTCGTCAGCAATGCCCTGAGGCACCCTGATAGACACTAATGTCACATCTTCAAGTAACGTTAACCTTCCTTTCTAGTCAGATAAATTTGCCATATCAAGTTCTGACCTTTGTTTGAACATATCTAAACAGACTATTTCAATTTCTGAAAACAGGTGAAGTCTATCCAAATGTGTTCTTAAAAGGAACACTCCTATTACTGCAAATACAAATAAGAAAAATGAAGAAGAAAGGAATATTCAGAATGAAATCATTTTGACAATTAAAAAAATTCTAAAACCTATAAGTGCACATGCAAATCATGAATTAAAAACTGTTAGAAATATGAAGTTACAAAATTCAGTATTCAGAAGTTACCAAATGCCATGGGTAAGCTTGTCAATGCAACCTTAACTGTACTGCAATATACATGAGCATAATAATCAAGTCATTAATTACATTAGAACACACTATTTTTGCTTCCCTCATGAATGACCTGTAGGACCTAACCCTTTCAGGTCCACAACATAATCTATTTGATATAAAAAAGTAACTGGAAGCAAAAAATCCTCTATGTTACCTCTTATGTTAATCCTGGAAATCAAGGTTTGTGTGTTCTTTTTCTGGCTGGCAGAGGGCTGTCCTAGTTAAATGATTATAACAATAGTTATGTATAGCATTGCTTTGTGCACAGATATAGTACATTCCATCTTGAAAGCAATTCTCTTGTTTTAGGTTCGCTTCTACCCTAGCAGAAAGCAAGATTCTGTTCTCAACATTGACTTTGGGCAACTTCTCAATTTTCCCCAATTTACAAATAAACTAAGTAGCCTGTTTCTTGGTGAAGGGATATTAGATATTATTCAGCACTAAGGATGAACTACACAGAAAAATTAAATTCAGTTAAAGTGGTGAGGCCAAATCCATGACCTCCTCTCCTGACTTAAGAGCACTGTCTCCTAGGCCAGAGTGGTTGGGTGTCTTTCTTGCTCTTCCCCTCTGATGTGTGCAGCATAAGTATTGTAAGAGATGTCTGTGTTTAACAGAAGTAGGTGAACCCCCAGTTCCTTTAATGGCTTAGGCCTGGGGTCTCAAAGATTCGGCCCACAGACTATCTGGCCTGCAGAACCATATCATCTATTCCCCAGTGTTGCATGTGGGTCTCACAGTGACCCACAGACAGCATGTGGGGCATACCAGATGGCCCTGTGCACTGCACTCAATGTCTGCTCCAAGTCATGTCCCAGATCAGCTGCCACGTGTAGCACAGCCCTGGGACAGCCACATGCCCTTCCATAGCCATGTCTCATGTGGCAGCAGCTTCAGGGCCATGCAGTGCAGCCTGGCAGTGGCTCTGGGACTCTTGCATAGCCTTGGGTTGGCTAAAGCAGGACCAGGCACCCACTCTGGCCACTCCAGGACACACGCTGGAATGCAGGGCCAGTCTGTGGTTCAGTCCAGCCCATGGACTGGCCCTGTGCTTCTCATCTGGCCTGTGGGGCTGGATGGTATATCTCTGGCCTATGGGCTGGATCTTTGACACCCCTGGTTTAGGCTATTTGTGCAATTTGGGAAAAGCTGCACCTTGCCATAGAAAGCTCCAGGAAGGAGTCTGGCAGAAGGAGGTGAAACTCTTCCTGGATGACTCCATGTACTCATGGAGTGGATCATACTCCCACCACACAGGTTGGTGCACAGTGAGAGAGGAATTGGCTTTATCCCACGCCACCTTGAAAAAAATTCCTGTAGCCATTTCTTAGATCTATAAAAGCCTCTTATGTGTTACACATAGGGGCTGATGGGGGCCTATTGTTATTGTTGCATATCATTTATATTGCAGTAGCACTAACATTCTCCAATCCCAATTGGAGGAATAGGGGAAGGTGTTGTGCTTAAGTTTTCAAGTGCACATGATGATAATGTCACTTTAAGATCTTACAGTAAATTATTTGCAGAAGAACACTTTCATGTGTAACTCTTTCATAAGGATCTCAAACTCTGGGCCTAAGTAACTGTAGATCTGGTTTTCCTAAATATAAGATGTAACTAGCACAGACTATATGCTTTTATTCTTCTACCCTTAAGTCAATCCTTGTAGCTCAACATTGCCCCAGGACTGTTGGTTTATGCCCCACATAGCAGGGTTGGACACTTTTGCAATTCTCCTTCTTCCCTTCAGGTGCTGCCACCAGGGTACAGAATTGGTGGCAGTGGGCAGTGTGGGGAAAGTGGTGGGGAACAGCAGCAGTGATTGATGTAGAGCAAGTACAGGGTTGAAATAAGTGGCAATGAGTGGCCATCATTTGCACGTGTCTCTGTCTGAGGGGCTTTTGTGCCCTCCAGTTGGAGGGGACACCCCACACTTTGGGAGGTGCTGTTGTAGATGCTTCTAGGAATATCTGTATTCTTTTTATTCACTAGTGTCCTTCCCTCAGTATGCCTGCTACACGAGAGAGGACAGGGAACATGTAAAACAATAGTTAAGGCCCATATCCAAAAAGGTAGCCAGGTGCCGCTACACTGAACATTGTAACACCTGACTTTAAAGGGCCAGCTATCCTTCCTAAAAGCCTCTAAAAAGTCCTGTTTTAGATCTAAAGCTTAGGTAATATCTATTAGGCTGGCTATAAGAATGCCTAGGAATAGCTC